TAGCCTCCTCCTTGTAGTAGTTCTTTCCTTGGTTTTTTCCAGTTTCTGTATAACGTTTGAATAGGTAGTACTAAAGGGATGCCTTCAAAATGAATGTGATGATGGGCAGTGGTGATATGTCTTATGTTGCATACTTGCTGCTAAATTCATGGAGTATACTACTCTGTTCGCACAAACAGTTTTGTTTCATTTTTCTGAATAAGTAAAATTGCCTAGAAACTTGAGCTTAAGGTGAAGATAGGGTAAAATTGTATATACTAGTGTTATTGAAGATGTAATATGATACAAATGATGAGAGTAATAAAGGATTATCATAGTGGCAGAATTATCCCTTTTGCTTATGCTGGCGGTATCTTCCTTATATACGTATTTGTTCTTGTGCATATGTGTAAGAACATTCATGGACATTCATGTTTGTGCAATCAATAATTTTTGGATAAATGTTCATTTTGTGAAGCATTTTGGAGGCATATCGAACTGGGAAAGGATGCATTGTGGTCAGAGGGAAAACTGATGTTGAATTGCTTGATTCTAGAACAAAGAGAAGTGCAAGTATCATAAAGGAGGTTTGCCTTGGTCTTCTTGTCTGGTTTGCATTAAATATGCATGTAGTCTTAGATTCTCATGAAAGAGTTTATTTTTTTAGTGATTTTATATTTTTTGAATGAGTCAGATCCCTCACCAAACCAACAAATCAGCCCACATGTTGAAGATAGCCGAACTTGTGGAAAATAAGGTGACATTCTTGCAAGTAGCAAATGATCCTTTAAAAGTGCTGGATTGTAATTTTTCTTTAAAAAGTAGTTTTGTGATTGGTTTTTATATATGTTATTTGATTGTAATCTGAAAGGTTCCAGTGTTTAGGGTCCAAATTCATTTGTTAGTATTATAATTCTTATTTAATATGTGACTATATTAAATCCAATAAGTACCGTTATATTCATTTAAGTTATTTTGTTGATATCATGTTGACCTCATATAATAATACTGATTGTCTCTGTTTATCATCTTCCCAAGAATTCTCTAGTTACACGTATTATCTCTTTGTTCCAAATTTGTCACCATTTTTGTGTTGATGCATTGCACTTCTAACTGCTGTATCACTCACATGAAATTATTAAAGTAATAAGGTCATACATTGTTGTTAATTCTTATCTCGTTTTAGTTCTTTTCTTTTTCCCCTTTTCTTTATACTTTTTTCCTTTTTTCTACAGAGTTTAGAAGGAATAAGCGATATTAGGGATGAAAGTGATCGTTCTGGAATGCGTGTTGTCATTGAGGTGTGCAATTTATTTATTTATTTTTAATTCTGTTCTCCTCTGTACTTTGTAGCTTTTTTTTTTGAAAAGAAACAGTATTATTCAAATAGGAAGAGCGAAAAACACGAGATGGCCAAGGAGGCCATCTTACAAAACA